AAGTAGTTAGATATCGTACTTGAGTAAAAGTAGAAGTACCAGAGTGTAGCAATACTCTGTTAAAAGTAAAAGTCCTGCATTCAAAATGTTACTCAAGTAAAAGTAGAAAAGTATTAGCATCAAAATATACTTAAAGTAGCAAAAGTAAAAGTAGAAGTAATCTTGTACTTGAGTAAAACTAGAAGTACTCAGATATTGTACTTGAGTAAAGTAGAAGTACCAGAGTGTAGGAATACTCTGGACACCGTGTCTCTGATCAAACACACACACAGCCACACACAAACATCCTGGTTGATGTTGACGTACCCGGAGTGAGTCTGGAGAACTCCTGGATGGTTTCCAGGGATGAAGAAGAGTCTTTGGAAACTTCCGGACTCCTGCGGTGGACCTGCGCTCCCCAAGCTTTCGCCACCTTTTCAATCTCATCGTGGTCGGTGGACACCCAAACACTAATAGAGATCAAAGTGTGTTATTATTGATATTAGTGTTAGATGCAGGGCTGCGAAATTTGGAGAAAAAAATGACTAATTGGGATTATTCTGATTGAGATTGTAACTGCGAGATTGGAGGGATTTTTGGCTGCGATTCCAATACGTATTTAATATCTTGCAGCCCTAGTTATACCGTGTTTGCAATCATCTCTTCACATATACTTTTATTGCTTTACTCGTACAATACAATAAAACTGTATTTATAGCACTTTATAACCCCGAGACCAAAGTGCAGTACAGAGAAATTAATAAATAACCTCACAAACCATCAAGTAAATATAAGGAAGGTAAGACCGATACGTGCACAGTTTAAAGGGGTTGTGGTAGGGTTTTGACATTAGGGGGTTTAGGGTGTTAAGATAAGATTAAAAGTACTTTATTGATCCCAATTTGGGTATTGTACATAAGAGAAATTAAAAGACTAGAGACAAGAGCTAAAAAGGTAAAATAAACAACAATAAATGAACAGATAATGCTGATTCTTGCACACTTTAAAAAGGGGGTTTGGCTGCTCTACTGGAGTTAATTCTCAAAAATAATTGCATGTACCTCTGAAACATCCCAGAGTCCACAGCAGCCCGGAGGACCCATCCGAGCAGAGGAACTCCGGCCAGCATCTTGATGTTTTTCAGGGGTATCCCTTTACTTCCTCCGCGGGCCAGAATCAGCGCGGCGATGTGTCTCTTTCCATCCGCCTTGGCGAGCTTCTGAGCGGGCAGCAGTTCGTCCGTCTGCCCGGTACCCTCTGGATGATCGACTGTCTTCCCGGTGTCCATAATAACTGTGGATGCAAGGTGTGGTAGAAAATACAATAAAACCTGGTTACTGTCCACCTAAGAAACGCACAATGACTCCGAAATATCGGTTTAAGTAGAAAGGAGTGCACTCGCGAAACACCCCCTGTTTTCTTCTGGTGCTGCTTTTCATGCTGTTCGTTCAGCTTTGATGCTCATTACTGCTCCCTGCTGCTGCTGTGGAGAAATGTGTTTTTCTCCATGAGATTCAAAGGTTGTCTTGTCATATGCACAAAGCTAAATACCACACTATGTGCAATATTATTATTATTATTATTAATAATGTTCGATAAATAACGTGAAATTACGTATCTGCCACTACGTTTTTTTTGCTATACTCTATACCAAATAATGTTAATATGTACATTAATGATGTGACCATCTATGTTAGATAAATAAAGTCCTATCTTATGACATGTTTCTGACCGGTTTATTGCGGTGATAACGATTTATATAAATTAGTATATTGCAAGATGACAACAGGAATGTTTATCTGGGCACTTAACTTATTTTGTTACTTCCTAATCAATGCGTTTATGGGCTGCTTTTAGTGAGATTAACCCAAGAAGAAGTATTAATATCCCTTACTTAGGTCAAAGTAATATAACAGTGAAGAAACACTATGAAATCCTGCAAGTAAAATATAATTTATTTTGTTCATAATTTACTCCGTGTAACTGGTAAAGGTATCTTAATTTATACATAGTACATTATAATTAATTTATTGATTTATATGTGTTCATAATTATATCAACATGCAAAGTAACTACTCAAGTTATGTGTCTCAAAAAACTACATTACTTAAAAATAAATGTACTTTCAAAAACTGGTTAGATTTGTGCAGAGATAGAAGAAGTAATGAGGTCCTTATTTCAATAAATAACCACATTTTAAAGAACCGATATTCATTGATTATGTGCTTTCCTGAGTCCTTGATCCTGAAATAAACTTTGATTGATTGATTATGTATACCATTGTATCATTTCCACTATTTGTCGTTGCACTATTTAAACCTTTTAAAGGTCACCTATTATGCAAAATTCACTTCTTCATGTCTCTTCTACATCAACATGTGTCCCCTCTTCTTCATGTCTCTTCTACATCAACATGTACCCCCTCTTCTTCATGTCTCTTCTACATCAACATGTGTCCCCTCTTCTTCATGTCTCTTCTACATCAACATGTGTCCCCTCTTCTTCATGTCTCTTCTACATCAACATGTGTCCCCTCTTCTTCATGTCTCTTCTACATCAACATGTGTCCCCTCTTCTCCATGTCTCTTCTACATCAACATGTGTCCCCTCTTCTTCATGTCTCTTCTACATCAACATGTGTCCCCTCTTCTTCATGTCTCTTCTACATCAACATGTGTCCCCTCTTCTTCATGTCTCTTCTACATCAACATGTGTCCCCTCTTCTCCATGTCTCTTCTACATCAACATGTGTCCCCTCTTCTCCATGTCTCTTCTACATCAACATGTGTCCCCTCTTCTTCATGTCTCTTCTACATCAACATGTGTCCCCTCTTCTTCATGTCTCTTCTACATCAACATGTGTCCCCTCTGTGGTAAAGAGACTCTGAAAGTTTCAGGAACAAAGATTCTCTCTC